ATAATAAAATTATTCAGAAATGATAAATGAGAAATATTGCAAATAAATATGTGAAACAATGCAAAATTGTGAAACGGACGATATTTTTCAAGCAACAGAAATAACAAATTGGTTAACCCTATGACTTTCTCGTTTCGCACGCTTCACATTAAGTAACCAATTAAACAGGCCTTACTTAAATTTATTTGTGCATCGCGATTTCTTTTTGTAAAAAAAAAAAAAAAAAATATATATATATATATATATTCGAAAGAGATATCGATCGTTCTTATTCAAAATTTATTTCATATCTTACTATTTTGCTGAAAATTATTAATATTCAATCTATCTAATAAAATATTAATTCGTGAATCTTGTTTCGTGTTCTCGGTATTTAAATCTATATCTATATATAGTTATAATTAGAAAGATTAATTAATTAAAGATATACGTTGTCGTATATTCTCGTAATTAAGTTTGTTCGTGGCTTTTACTTAAATAATCTAAAAAAAAATCTCTCTAAGTTCTTGATATTTTCATAAATTAAATATAAAGTATAAGTGTATTGAGTATAAAATTGCAACATAATTAAAATAACAAATAACAAATATTCGAAGAATGAATGATAAAAATATTTAAATAATGCAAAATATTTAATTTTCTTTTATTTTATATATATAAAGTTTTTTTTTTTATTAAAATATGCGTAAAAATATATATTCAAAGTAATATCAATAATAATTTATGTAATAATTTAATGATAATATTCACCGATATGTGAAAAAAATATTGCATCAAAAATTAATTATTAAAATCATAAATAAAAAAAATTTTGTTTATATTTTTATGATATTATATTATAATTACAATTAACAAACGATACGATAAGATTAAGCATATGAATGAATAATGACTTGTACTAGATCTTCGTATTTTAAATGATCTTTGATATTATTAATAAACTTATCGTAAATCCTTGAACTGATATATTTTCAAAGCAATATTTTGATTTAAATTCAATAGAAAAATACTTGTTATATATCGTAAACGAGATACAGAATCTTATTGGTCAATTTATTTTTTATCTCTTAGAGAAATTAGGACATTCTTATAATTTTATTAATTTGATTTTAAAATAAGATAGCAATGTTATTAATGGTATGAATTGAAATTAAATTTCAATATAAATAATAAATATAATAAATACAATATAAATAATAAATAAGAAATAGAATAAAATAAAATTTTTTATAAATAAAATAAAATTCTTATAAATGTCGATCTTATAAATGAATTTATACAAGATTATATTTATATATAAAATATAATTATCGTGGAACAGGTAAT